GATCTGTTTGAGAATCCCTCGATTTAGATGTAGGGTGATAGCATTGTGGTTTTAATTTATGTCTCTAATGATTAATGATGTTGAGCATCTTTTTATGTGTGTATTAGCCATTTACTTTGTTGTTTAAATATTCACATCTTTTGCTCATTTTAAAGCTGGGTTATTTGTCTTGATTGAGTTTTAAGAGTTCCTTATATATTCTGGATACAAGCCTTTTGTAAGATAAATGATTTGGAAATGTTTACTCCCAGTCTGGCTTCCGTTTCTATTTTCTGAATGACACTTTTTGAAGAGTTTTCAGGAGTAAAGGTTTTTAATTTTACAGAATCCAAATTATCCACTTTTTCTTTTATGGACTCTGCTTTTAGTAGCTTATCTAAGAAGTCTTTGCTCAACACTAGGTCACAGTTCTTTCAAAAGCATTATTGTTTTAACTGTTACACTTAGGTGTATGATCCATTTTGAGTTATAGTATGAGAGAAGGATCTAATTTTTTTTTTTTTTTTTAATATATAGCTGTCTCATTGTTCCCAGCACCATTTGTTGAAAAGATTAACATTTCCCCTATTGAATTGCCTTGGTGCCTTTGTTTAAAATCAATTAAACATAAATGTAAGGTTGTATTTTTTAGTTCTTTTGTTATACTGACCTGTATGTCTCCCGTTATGTTAGTACTATGCCATCTGGTGAGATGTTTTCTAATTTCCTTTGAAATTTCTTCTTTGACTCATGGGTTATTTATAAGTTTGTTGTGTGATATCCTGATATTTGGAAGTTTCTCACATTTCTTTCCGTTGATTTCTAATTCCATGTGGCTGGAGAACACTGTATGATTTTAGTCTTTTAGGCCACTTGCTTTGTGGCATGGCATGTTTTATTCCATGTTCACTTGAAAATAATGAGTCTTCTGTTGTTGGGTACAGTGTACTATAAATATCAGCTAGATTAAGTTGGTTGGTAGTGTTATTCATATATCTATAGCCTTGTTAATTTTCTGTCTAGTTCTGTAATAGATTAAAATCTCTATTATAGTTCCTGAATTGTCTACTTCCTTTTTCAATTCTGTCATTTTTTTTTTTTGCTTCATGTATTTTGAAGCACTGTTCCTAGATGTAAATGCATCTTTGTTATATCTTCTTACCGTATTAACTCTTGTAATTATGGTAAACAGCATAGTTGAGTAGTTAAAACAGAGATTGCAATGACGTGCAAAACAAAATATTAACTATCTGCCCCCCCCCTTTTTTTTTTGACACAGAGTTTCACTCTTGTCACCAAGGCTGCAGTGCAAAGGCACCATTTCTGCTCACTGCAACCTCCGCCTCCTGGATTCAAGTAATTCTCCTGTCTCAGCCTCTCACGTAGCTGGGATTACAGGCACCGGCCACTAGGCCTGGCTAATTTTTGTATTTTTGTTAGAGACGGGGTTTCGCCATGTTGGCCAGGCTGGTCTCTAACTCCTGACCTCTGGTAATCCACCTGCCTCGGCCTCCCAAAGTGCTGGGATTACAGGTATGAGCAACTGCACCTGGCCCCCTATCTGGCCCTTTTAAGAAAAAGTTTGCCAATCTTTGTTCCAGACCAGTGTTTCTCACTCCTCAGTATGCATGTGAATCATGTAGGGATCTTGTTAAAATTCTGAAGATTGGAATTCAGTAATTTTGGGGAAGAGCATGAGACTCTGTGTCTCTAAAAATCTTCAATGTGATGCAAACACTTCCGGTCACCAGCGTACTCATTTAGTGGCAATATATTCATTTAGCTATTCAAGACCAGTGTGAATCTACATGAGTTGTGTCTGCATTCCACAATTGGTCGCTATTTGGAAACTGCTGCCCGTGGCATAGGCATTATGCCTTAAAGGTAACTAAATTTTTTCAACTTAATTTAACCAATCCTCTGTAGAAAGATTTCAAACTCTGCTCTGCCCAGTGTTCTGTGAGATGTTAGTGAGTGTGCTCTGAGAAAAAATGTTCAAAGTACAGAAAGAAAAACATTTCCAAACTAACTTGACCGTGAAGTCCTTGCTCTACTCTCATTACTTACATTACACACCTCCCCACACCCATACCTTTTAACCTCTATGTGAAACATAATTTGGGAAGTATCTGCTGAATTTGTACATGTTCCAGATCTCTTGAATTATGAAAGAACCAGAAAATTATGTAGAAAGGCAAATAATTAAGAGCTTTGTTAGGACATGCCTGTTTTGGGGATAATAACACCATCGTTTAATGCAAATAAATTCTGAGGGTTATCTCAGATTATTTAAATTGGATTTTAATTGATTTTTAAAATTGAACTATTTTTACTTATTTCCTAAATGATATTAAGTTTTTAATATAATCTAAAACCATTTGTCATATTTCTGTGAGAGTAATACTAAGGTACTAAACCAATTTTTCTCACTGTCCCATTAAAATATCCTTCAATCTATTTTTACTAGAAAAACTGTGCCACTGATTAGGTGAGGGCAGACCCAATGTGCCAAGAAAAAAATGAGGAATTAAAGAAGGCTTTGAGCAGATCAGTTTGCCAGCTATGACAGAATCTATGAAAGTAGACATAGACTGAAATCCAGAAGGCTAGCCAGGAGCAAGAGATAAGGACTTGGACTAAGGTGATAGGGAAAAGGGCTATGATAAGGATAAAATTGAGAGTATTACCAGAGGAAAAACTAGTAGATTTTGTTGAGAAGTAAATTTAAAGCGCATTTTATATTAGTTGATAAAATGTAAAGTTGAAAGTTCGGACGTGGTAGATAGTCAAAATGTTAAAAAGATGTTGAGAAACTGAAGAGAGCAGATAAGAATGTAGGATGAGGGAAGACATGATGATGGATCTCACTGAGGTAATGACCTAGTGGACATTTGGAATTTATTAAATACCTTATAGTTTTCTTTATCTTTTAAAATATATTTTTAGGGACTCAAATGTACTTTTGTTTTACTATTAGAGAAGTAAAAACATGCAAGATTAACATGCCTTATGGAGCACAGTTGTAATTTAGATCATAATTCCAAAAAATGGGTTTAACCATTTTTTTTTAAGGTTTTGCATATGAAAACTTCTGGGTTTTGTTTTACTTAGCTTAACATAAAAAATTTTTTATTAAGGAAAAATTTACATATAGAAACATTCACCTTTTTTAGTGTGTAATTCTGTTATTTTGACAAACACATATATTTGTGTGACCACCACTACCACAGTCAATGTGTAGTGCAGTTAAATCACCACCAAAATTCCCTCTTGCTTCCTTGTAGTCAGTCCTTCTCCCAACCCCCAGGTACTTGGCAACCTGATTTGTTTTCCGTTCCTAGAAATTTTCCTTTTCCAGAATGTCATATTCGTAAAATCATTTAACACCGTAGTCTTTTGAGCCTGACTTTTGTTTTTGAGACAGAGTTTTGCTCTGCAGTGTGGGCTAGAGTACAGTGGCACAATCATGGCTCACTGCAGCCTCGACCTCCTGGGCTCAAGCAGTCCTCCCTGCCTTGGCCTTCCAAAGTGCTGGGATTATAGGTGTGAGCCACTGCACCTGGCCCTAAGTTTGACGTCTTATTTACATCATTTGAGATTCATCTGTGTTACTGTGTGCCATCAGTAAGTTAGTTACTTTTATTGTGAGCAATATCCCATTGTATGGATGTTCCAGTTTATCCTTTACCCAGTTGAGAGACACTGAAATTATTTGCAGTTTTTTGGTAATTATGAATAAAGCTGCTATAAACCTTTGTAGACAAGGTTTTGTATTAACATAAGCTTTTATTTTAGTGTGATGTGGAATTGCTGGGTCATGTGGAAAGAATTTGTTTTAACTTTATACTGCCATACATATGTATTTCTAATCTACAGAATGAGCTCATGACATAAATTATCTATGTATATATTCCAGAAATCAAGACTGAAAAGGTTAATTAACTTATTTGTGCACACATAGCAAGTGGCTGAGCTGGGATTGAACCAAAGTCTAACTCCGAAGCTTGGGTCCTTTCCACTATGCCCTACTTCTTCTGCATAAAGAAGTCATTTGACTTTAAAATTATACAGTAGTCTTCATAATGTTCTTACATTTCCTGAACCAAGCAAAGTTTTGAAAGTTGCCTTAAAGCTAGATTTCTCACAGTCTCTCCATTTATATATTGCTGCATTTATGTATTCTGTTTCTTAGTTGGGCTTTACTTTCTTTAGGCTTCTATGTATGTTTTCCAAATCTGGTTTGCATAAGATGACTCATAAAAAAATACTTCTAAACAAACAAGCCGTATATGTTTATGTAAATGTTACATTTTAAAAACGACATTGCAGAAAGAAATTTTGTTCCTGTTACCTGAAAAATTTTAGGATATGAAACGTTGAATACTTTGACCATGACTTGAAAGCCCAGCTGAATAGAGCTCTAATAACTAGTAACAACTTTTATTCAAAGGGCGTCACTTACAGGTTGTTCATTGGTCTTCTTTTGTGCTGAGTTTGTATCTGCTCTGAAATATGAGCCATGTCTTAAAATTTGATAGTGAGCTGAGGATAATTTGAGAAGCAAAGGAGAAAAAGTACTTATAGGCTTTAATCAATTGATCTTATTTGTTACTTGGAATTAAGGTGTAAGGAGTACTCCAAAATCACAAATGACTTCTAGATTGAAGCTATAGAGTAAAGGTTTGCAGGCCAATAAAATTGAAGCTCTCTGAAAGTGGCAAGTGGATAAAACATCCTAAATTAATTTTGGCTTCCCCTGGACATACTTGCCATCTGTTCAGTTAAAATTATGAATTTTTGTATTGCCAAAACATTAACTTGTGTGTGATCTTAATAGAATATTTAATACTGTTTTTCTAAGCTTGCTTTTTCAAAATAACCTAATAGAAGTACTTAATGATTTTTTCCTGATAAATTTGCTTTTTAAAAATGTATGACAGGGCCAGGCATGATGACTCATGTTTGTAATTCCAACAGTTTGGGAGGTCAAGGCGGGAGGATTGCTTGAACACAGGAGTTTGAGACCAGCTTGGGCAACATAGGGAGACCTCGTCTCTACAAAAATGAAAAAATTAGCCAGGCATGGTGGTGCATTTGCCTGTGGTCCCAGGCTACTTCGGCGGCTAAGGTGGCAGGATCACATGAGCCTGAGAGGTCGAGGCTGCAGTGAATTGTGATCATGTCACTGCACTCCAGCCTGGATGACAGAGTGAGACCTGTCAATCAGCATAAAATTCTCAATTTCTAAGATTTTTTAATATAAAAAGCAAGTAGTAACAGATCATGTTATTTATGAATTGTGATCAGTAAACCCCCGAATATCTACTTATTTAGTCCTACTGTATCAAATATCATCATCAGTGTTACATAACCAACATTAGGGTATTGAATAACATCAATATCAATTAACATTTTAATTCGAATTTTGAATTATTAGGCTTTTAAGTCATCTACAAATTGATTGGCAATTGAACTTTATCATTTGTTTAGTTTGCTGCTAAATGAAACCGTTCAATACTTTTTCTAATAGTAAAAACATACTGAAGATGAGAAGCACTTGTTTAGAAAAAATATGTAAATATATAAAATGTAATAGCCTGGAAATCAATCATCAGAAAATTGGAACTGATTCCATTTGTAAGAACAGAAACATAAAATAAGTTTTAAACTTATCAAACTTTTATTTTAAAATTATTGTAAACCTCAATGTAGGTTATAAAGGAAGACTTGAATGAATGGAAAAACACACCATACTTCCTGGGATGAAAAGACTCGATGCTGGGCCTTGCAGACATTTGTATACATAGAGGAAACTGTTTTCAAAGCTGAGCTGCACTTTTGGCCCCCTCAAGAGTGGCAAAAATAAAAGCCAAGCCCAGGGCCTCCAGAAGTGAGATCTCTGGTAAATTACCTCCCATTTTACGCTTACACAGTGAAAGAAGAGGGTGAAGCCATGTGTGTTATAGCCCTCTCATGAACTTGCTTTCTGCCCTTGTGTCCTGTTGGTGGTTCAACCTGGGATTAAGTGGTCAAACCCGGATTAAGATATGTAGACTCGTGATGTCCGCAGCTCTCTGGAAGAAACAGTTGTCCCTAGGACAAAGTGTCATTATCTAGGCCTAAAATTAATAATAATATAATTTTTATATCCAGCATTCAGCTTATAAATTTAACCAGGTGCACACACACACACACAGCACCAAGAGCAAGAAGCAGCAAAATCAACAGACAACAGAAAAAAATCTTTAGGTATTGGAATTATCAAACAGAAAACCATCATGCTAAGTTGCAAAAACAAAAGGAGAGATCAGGACATAATGGTAGTATACTGGAAACTTTATGACAAGGCAGATTTTAAAAATAACTAAATAGAAATTTTAGGATCAGGAAATAAATTATTTCAGTGTTACAAACATAACATTAGACAAAGCTGAAGTGAGCATTAGTGAACTGGAAGACACAGTTCAGAAGAAGCTATACAAGAAGCAGCATGAAAGAGGAGAAGTGTGGAAAATAGTGAACAGAAGGAAAGGATAAGACTCAGAGGATATGTTAAGAAGATCTCATATTTGTTTGATTAGAGTCCCAAAAATGGAAGAAATGAAAGCCAAAGTACATATGTGAAAGGATAAAAAATAGACCAACAGAACAGAAGAAGAGAGACCAAAAACAGATCCGTGAATACTTATGACAAAAGTGGCACTGTAATGTGGAGTGGTTGATATTTTCAGTAATTGCTGCTTGGACAATTGAGTGTTTCTGTAGAAGAAAAAATTGGGCCATTATCATAAAATCAATTATATTTGGATTATAGATTTAAATGTGAAAGGCAAAACAATAAAGCCTTTAGAGGATAATGTTAAAATATCTTCTTAATGGTTGGATAGAGGGATTTTTTTAAACAAGGCATAAAGTGACTATATTATAATTAAGAACTCTTGTTAAGCAAAAAACAGCATTAAGGTAGTTACAGAGTCACAAGCAAAAGACTTTCATTTAGACTATGTTTAGAACCAAACAAAGCTAAATCAATGAAGAAAAGGTCAGCCCCATAGAAAGGTGGGCAAAATATTTAACACTTCATCACAGATGATACCCACGTGGTGAAAGGTATTTAACCTCATTAATAATCAGAACTTGTTATTTATTCTAGTTTTGGTATAATGGCAAATTGTAAGCAATTTAAATACCAATAATAGGATCCACCAATTAAAGTTTTATATGTATTATAGGAATGCCATTTGGTCTTTACAAGTGACTTAGAGTTATGTAAGCTTAGATTAAAATGTTCACAGATTAGGTATCCCATTTCGGTAAAAAAAATACACATGAATATGTATTTGTGAAAAATACATTGCATGAAGTCTGGGAATATTTCAGAGTAGTTGTGCGTATAGATGATGGTATTTGGAATGATTTTAATCACATATCTTTTTTACTTATTTGTATTTTATAGTGTTTCTAAATGGAGCATGTACTGTGTTATTTATGTCATTGACAAAATAGGATGTACCAAAATAGGGCAGTATATTCATTTTTCTATTGCAGAAATAAATTTTTTAATTAAATTTTGATCAAATGAACCACCCCTTAGTGTTAAAAGCATGTGTTCATGCACCTAGGCATATAGTATGTGCAGTAGCAATACAGAAAGAATGTGATAGTTTAATATTCTAAAGGTATGTTCAAGTGACTATCCATTTTCTTTTCACTTAATGAGTCTTAATTTTTTCTTTTTCATTGCGGTTAATACCTGATTGCCTTCTCCTTATTTCTTCTGCCTCTCTACTTTCCATTCTGCTTTTACAGTGCTTATATGTCCTTAAATTTTCTTCTGTTAAAATTTTGATTGCACATCTAGAGAGTTCAGTGCTTTATAAGGTAAACTATATCATATAAATGGAATTCGTTTTTATAGCTTTAGGGTCTTAAATTTCCTTAAGAATTTATACAGAAAGAATGTAGAAATAATGTAATAGTTTAATATTCTAAAGATATGTTCAAGTGACTGTCATCCATTTTCTTTTCACTAAAAATGAGTATTAATTTTTTCTGCTTTTTCATTGCAATTGATACCTGATTGCCTCCTCCTTATTTCTTCTGCCTCTCTACTTCCCATTCTGCTTTTACAATGCTTACGTGTCCTTAATATTTTCTTGTGTTAAAATTTTGAATTTGTACATCTAGATAGTTCAGTGCTTTTTAAGGTAAACTATACCATATAAACGGAATTAGTTTTTAAGCTTTAGGGTCTTAAATTTCCTTAAGAATTTATTTTCATAATTTCACGGGGAAAAAATGAGCCCTTTCTAAAGTACCCTTTTTGATAAAGTAAATAAATCTGTTATTTGAAAAATGACAGGCACGTGGATTTTAACAAGATATTTGTTATCTGGCATTTTCTCTGTCATATCGAAGAGTGGTTTTGGTTTGTTTTTTTTTCTAGTTTGGATAGGATGTTATTTGACAAATATTTTTGAAAAATGATGTGCTGTGTTTTGCCACAACTTCCAAAAAAAACTGAGAGATAAATTTAGGATTTATTGCACTAGTTAGCTCATCCATGTATACTTGCCTGCTTTAACTGAACATTGTTTTTAGATCATTAATTGTTCCTTTTATCCTTTTTGAAAGTAGAAGCTACAAATTGTGAATCAATGTGCATGTATGTAAATATATACACATATGTACGTGTACTGTGTAAACATGTTTTGGATTTCTTTTAGCCAACAAATGGAATTTTCTTGAGCATGTTTCTAATTGTTTTGCCATTGGAATCCATGGCTCATGGGCTCTTCCATGAATTGGGTAACTGTTTAGGAGGAACATCTGTTGGATATGCTATTGTGATTCCCACCAACTTCTGCAGGTACAGTAATCTAGTATAGTTAGTGGTAACTATTCAGTCCATAACATTTTCTTAATATTTATATGAATAAAATATAGCTCCTTTTCAAAACCGTATTTTCAAAATATAACTTTTGCGTTTCTTCCAGATTTTTAACAAACTTCATTCCAAGTGATAATATCTTCAGAGTTCAATTGAAATATTTTGATAAATATGATAAGCTTATATTTTAGCTAGAAACCAGAAAATATTCATGTATAACTTTTCTGAGGAAAGGTCTTACCCTAAAGGGAATATTTTGTTTAAGAAAGTGTCCTCTGGCCAGGCGTGGTGGCTGACATCTGTAATCCCAGCACTTTAGGAGGCTGAGGTGGGCGGATCACTTGAGGTCAGGAGTTTGAGACCAGCCTGGCCTACATGGTGAAACCCCATCTCTACTAAAAATACAAAAATTAGCCGGGCGTGGTGGCAGGCACCTGTAATCCCAGCTACTCGGGAGGCTGAGGCAGGAGAATCACTTGAACCTGGGAGGCGGAGGTTGCAGTGAGCTAAGATCGCACCATTGCATTCCAGCCTCGGGGACAAGAGCAAGACTTCGTCTCAAAAAAAAAAAGTCCGAAACAACATAGTGAAATATGAAATGTGCACTGGGCCTGAGAGGCTGGAGGTTTAGTTCTGTGTTACCTTCGGTACATTATAACTCTGAACCTTATTATCTGTCTTTACCTAAAGACATCATTCCTGTTCATCTGATAGGAATGGTATGAAGAACAAAAAAAAAAAAAAAAGTGAATGTAAAAACACTCTGCACACTGAAAAGTGCCATGCAAATACTAGGAATTCAGAGGATTGGCAGTGAAGTTTAATAAATGTTTATTGCAGTTTTGTTCCAAAATAAATTTTACCCACAAAGGTGGTGACAGCTGTATAAATCTGTAAATGTGCTACATTTTGATTTTTATTTTATAACTAAATACCTTTAAAATAGTTATTTGCCATAAATGAATTCTGATGACAGTTTTCATCACACTTTCCCTGGGGGAGGGGAGAGTTGAAGTAAAGTTTTTTTTCTCATTTCAAGTATTTAACATAAAAATCTCCAAATAGACTATTTGTAGGAAATATTTTCATTCATGTTAAAGACTTAATCAAAAGTTGAAGGTTCAAGAACTGAGGGAAACAGATTTGGAAATGTCCCATAAAGTGAGAAATGACAACCTTGTAGAAAGAAAGAATGTGTGGAAATAGTAATATGCACAGTTAGATATTTATTACATTGTAATTTTTTTAAATGTAGTGCTTACTCTTTTGTGACTGTAATTTTAAAAGTTAGTAGAATACTATTGATGATACATGAAGCAAAATCTAAGGTTTTCAAAAATCCTGACAGAAATCCCTTTTCTGGATAGGAATGATGGTTTTTCTTTCTCAATATTAATAGTATTTTGCTAGTTATAAGACTTGCTTTATCTACTAGAGTACCATTTTATATTTGTTCCAGGAGCAAATCTAAGTCTTCAACTAGTGTTCAGTATAAAGCAGTGGACCTAAATTTTAATAACTTTTTAAATGCCTATTAATAATTTATTCTGTTTATGTACCTTAAGTTAATGAAATTTGAACACAATTTTTATAGACTATTTTTCAATACAGAAATATATAATTAAAATATTGCTTTTATATTTTGTGTGTTATAATATTTTTAAACAATAGTTTTTTTAATAGGCCACACCCAGATGTTCTTGAAACAGTGTAATCCTGCTTTTAAAAAGCCTTGTCCAATATCTGTCATGTAAGAAAATATGAATAAGGAACAAAGAGTAGTACTATCTACATTTGGAGGTATTATCCCAGCTTTTAATTTGATTATTGTTTTAATGATAGTGAGTATTTAGAAACCAGGTTTTGATTTTCTAAGCTTAATTCTTAGTACTATAGGAATTTTAGAAAGGATGATTTTTTTTAAAAAGCCTGCCTCTTACCAGCAACTATATTATAACTGATTCTTAGATAATCAGTTATAAATGACAGATGAGAATGTGATACAGAATGAATACTTCTTAAACACCAAAATAATTGTTTTTTCTCTGCTTCAGTCCTGATGGTCAGCCAACACTGCTTCCCCCAGAACATGTACAGGAGTTAAATTTGAGGTCTACTGGCATGCTCAATGCTATCCAAAGATTTTTTGCATATCATATGATTGAGACCTATGGATGTGACTATTCCACAAGTGGACTGTCTTTTGATACGCTGCATTCCAAACTGAAAGCTTTCCTCGAACTTCGGACTGTGGATGGACCCAGACATGATACGTATATTTTGTATTACAGTGGGCACACCCATGGTACAGGAGAGTGGGCTCTAGCAGGTAAACTCACCTTTGGCAGTTTCACTATTGTAAAGATACACATGTATATGTAGAAATCTGTACTTCACACACAGTCATTAAATTTCCAGGATTCTTAGTTTACTGAACTGTACATATGACTTTAATTTGTTTTTCTTTGCTCTAGCATCCCTGTTTAGCCATCTCTAATGATAAGATTCAGAAATATGTCTTGTAGTGATTAGAAGGAAAAAATGCTTTGAGACTTATAGTTTCCCTGAAAATATTTTCAGAATTGCTAAATATATTTTTCAGAAGCTGATAAACTTCGTTGACTAGTATTTTTAAGTTTTGAAATGTTATGGATGCAGATTTCAGTAGTCCTTCACATCTGTAGTTTTATTTATGTTTATAAAGCTCACCAAAATTTTAAACAGCAGATCATGTAGTATGGTGAGAGTAGCATTTAGGTCAGGAGACCTTGGTCCTGGTCCTAATTTGCCACAACTGTGTTATTTTAGGCAAGTTAGTTAACTTCTGTTGGCTTCAGTTTTCTCGCCTGTAAAATAAGGCGGTAATTTTAAATGATCATTGAATTTTATTCTAAGGTACAAAATTCTGTAGGGATTGTTTTGCATTTGAAAAATCATAAAATAACTTTGGTTTACATGCATTATGGGAAATAGAAAACTTCTTAGTTATTGCCAAGAGAGAAATGAGATCTCTTTATATAATATAAAAATTTGTCAGGCTTTCCAACTATTAATAGAGAGTAAGTCAAGGGCTTTGTTTTATGAATTGTTACTTGCTTAGGACCTATAACAGAGCCCAGTACATAGTAGAGGATCCTTAAGTAGCTAATAGATGAAATCATTGAATAAATCATTAAAAAAGAAAGGTAATTTTCTTATTTTAGATTAGAAATAGTTATTTTAATTACATGATTTTTTTCCATAAAAGAGTGTAGATGTTTTAAACCAAGAATATATAAATAATAAAATAGTCATGAATAAATTGGAAACATTCAGGATGAAGAAAAAGATAAATAGAAGTAGTATGGAAGGACAGAGGCAGAGTTGCCAATATAAGAACTCCAGAAAGAAACAAACAAAGGGTTAAGGTAGAGATGATTTTAAACCAGTGTGATCTCACTAATTTCATGCCAGATTTGTAACTGGAGTTTTTATCATAAAGAGAAATATTTTTTTGAAATTTTTCTTTTTTGCAAATAAATATTGAATAACTCAGTGGCCTTCTAGTACAAAGACGAGCTAATATTTATTGGGCACATTTTAAGCATCAGCTTACTGTACTTAGTACCTTACACACATTGTTAATCTTTATGTGAATCCTTTGAGATGGATACCACCACTTCTGTTATCTTCATTTTTGAAAAGATGAAATGGAAATTGTAAGTTGTTATGCAACTTATGATTTAAGACCAGATCTGCCCGGTTCCTAAAGTGTATTTTTCCCCCCACTGTACCATGTTGCCTCCAAGGGTGAAAGCCGTGATGATAAAGAAATGGCATGTTTTGGTTAAATGGATATTTTTGTTAGCATGGGTTACCCATTTCAAAAAATTAGAATGTACAAGACTAAAAGATGTACTGAACATTAAAACTACTTCAATATAGTTTATAAAATCATTTACTTGACCTATAACTTTTTAATTACAAGGTAGAAAACATCTTTTTAACCTTTATGGCTACTTTAGTTTCAGGTAAAGTATAACATTCTGTGTATTCCAACTCAGAGCACAAGAGAAAGCTTTAGTCAATTAAAATAGTCTTTACAGAAATAGAATTTTAGATCTACAAGTAGGGATTACTGAAAACTTACTATAATCCTTAAGATAATAAACTCTACCCAGATCAAATGGAAAAAACAGGGCTAATTTTTGGTGGCCATGCATATATCCCTAGTTATTTTAAAGTGTTAGAGTAATTTTAGAAGTAAGTTTTTTGTGTGTGTTGATATGAAAGATTTATTACTTAATGGAAACACTTTTCAAGTTTGCAATTTTCTTAAGTAATTTAAAATTCATTAAGTATTTCTTAAAGATAGCTATGGAAATCAATTCTAGATGTTCATTTACTAATTCTTATATCAGCGTTTTATTTTTCTAAGAAAATAAAACACTAAGATACACACATATATATGTATCAGGTTTTCAAAATTTTCATTCATCATTAAGTTAGGAATAATTTTTGAAAACTTTAAGAACTCTAAAATAGAGTCGCATTTTAGGTAAATGTTTAGCAGTTACATTCTAGAATGATGTCTTTATAATTTTTTTTGAAGTATGTTACCAGTAAATTGACCATTACAGAATTCATCTGTTAGCTAAGATTTGTTCTTGTGTAACTTTGAGAGCTTATTATAAGAAGTTTAAAAAAATAGAGAAAGCATACTGATCTCCCTTCCCTGAGAAAGGTAGATTTTATCTTATAATTCAGCAACTGCATACTGTCAAGCATGGCCTGAGGCATCTGGCATACAGAAAAGCCTGCTTTTCAGTTAGTTCATGCCCTGACCTGCTTTAGACATAACCCTCAAGGGCTGATTCTGCCTCACAAATAATATTGAATATCTCTGTTCTGAGGAAAATGCTTTAATCTATTTCAAATTACATGACAAAGAGCTTTAAGCTCTGCTAATTTATTAATAGTTGGGTTTTTGTTGTCGTTGTTGTTGTTGTTTTTTCAGCCGACTTTGAAATAGGAAACATCACAACTGGATTTTAGTTGGGTTAGCAAGTTAGTAGCAGACCCAGTATTAATATCACTGTGGGAAAGAGAATCTATATTTGCCGTTTATCCCATATGTACTTAGAATATGTAGTCTTCTTATATTTATGGAGTTTCATGATATGGAACCTAATATTTTTGCCTCTGCTTGAGGATAGAAAACAATCATGGTAATTACAAGAGAGACAGAAATAAATGGGAAAAATGTACATAATTTATAAAGTAGTTTATTACAAATAAAGCCTTTAAAAAGCAGTCTCAATTACTTGAAATGCATCAGATGGCTGTTATCTTAGATAGATGTAAGTACTTTGAATCTGGGCCAAAAGCCAAATGTAGCATAGAACCTATTCATAGGAAAAAGCAGAGCAAAAGAAGAGAAATCGTTTAGAAAGCTTTAATGCTGCTTTAAGTCTCTTGTTGATATCTAAAGAGCATTTATATAAGAGAATTAGGGTAGAATATGCTAAAGAGTATTTATTGAAATAGTTGTGGATGGCATGTTGGGCAATGATGTTTTGTGGCAGATGGAATTTATATAATAGTTCTTGTAATCTGTGTCATCCTCTGATCTCTAGAGAAATTTAATAGAGCTGGCAATAATGGAGAGTTAACGTTTGGCCATTTTTGAAAAAGTATCTTTTGGAGGTATCAGTGGAATAACACATTAGTAATATGTGGAGACCATGTACTGAAATACTGTCTCTGAGATAATATGTGTGAGTGTTAGAGCGATTAATAAAACAAGTTTATTTTCATGTTCTTAAGCTATTGTGGGCTGATTAATAAAACATTAATCAATTACACATGAAGAATATGACAGAATCCCAATTCTAAAGGATTCTCTCTCTGGTGGTGTCCATTTTTAACGGTGAAACCAAGAGGACAGCTGATTTGGGGGAAATATGTATTCTGGAGTTAGGTTGTTGGATCTTGTGCTGACAGATTATAAAAGTAACTTATGCTCAATGTAAAAATTTCAGAAAAGTATTTTAAAAACCACCCGGAAGTGAAACACCTAGCAATAGCTGCTGTTGTAATTTTTGTAGATGCCTTGTCATGCTTTTTCTAATACATTTGCTCATCAATAAATTTTCTTTATAAGTATTTTGTTATAAGATTTCCTCCTAAGGTTTTAGGACATAGTTTATTTCCATTTCCCAAATGGGAAAGAAGTCTTTTTTGTAATTTTTTGTCCCTATGTCTGTTCTTTTCTTAGGATAGATTCGTAGAATTGGAATGATCATTATCAGTGTACCATTGAGGCAGGGCCAAATGAGGTGAGGGTGGCAGTTGCCTCAGGCACAAAACATAAGGGAATGCCAAAAAACTCAATAATCAAAATGAACATTTTAATGTAGTACACTTAAAAATCAAAATTAATGCAAAAAAGATCCACGATGAACTAGATGTAAAACCTGTAGTCAGAAGTTTATTTACTTTAGAACTTTCTGGGTATATATTTTTTTAATCCCTTGTTCTTCAGCTATAAAACTGATTTAAATGTAAATCTGTCCTTAAATTCATTCTTGTACAGGTAGGAATAGGGTTTATTTTCATTCAGTAGGTACTTACATATGAGGAAGAGAAGGAAACAATGATACAGAATGGGGGCCAAACTTTTTCTGTAAAGGGCCAGATATTTTTGGCTATGTGGGTTTAGATCCCTGTTGCAGCTATTCAGCTCTGCTACTTTAGAGCAATAGCAGCCATAGACAGTGTAAATGAATGAATGTAGTTGTGTTCCAATAAACTGTTATTTATGAAAATAATTATATGAAACTTAAATTGCATACAATTTTTACTGTCACAAAATATTCTGATTTTCTTTCAACCATGTAAAAATATAAAATCAGCTCTTAGCTTTCAGGCCATACAGAAAGAGGTGGCAGGCTGGATCTGGCCCATGGGTTGTAGTTGCTGCCCCGGTATAGAATGTTAGCTTTTCTGTATAGTTGTTTTCACTAAATACAAAGTATTTTCTTAATTTATACTAGCAGATTCCTTTTTATGTGATTAATAAGGATTTTTTTTTTTTTTACCTGAAGTTGAAAATCTGTTGTAAAAAATATCTTTTCAAAAGATACTTTGAAAGTGTAATTTAAATACTTTATTTTTTGCTTATTTAATTCTAAGAACTTAAGGAAAATACATGTAAGATGAGTATGTTCCCACTAGGAGAAAATTATTAAGAGAGTTTTCTTAATGAGAGGCTGCAGAAATTATTGCTGCATTGAATTTTCTCTTGTTCACAGGTGGAGATACACTACGCCTTGACACACTTTTAGAATGGTGGAGAGAAAAGAACGGTTCCTTCTGTTCCCGGCTTATTATCGTATTAGACAGCGAAAATTCAACCCCTTGGGTGAAAGAAGTGAGGAAAATTAATGACCAGTATATTGCAGTGCAAGGAGCAGAGTTGGTAAAAACAGTAGATATTGAAGAAGCTGACCCGCCACAGCTAGGTGACTTTACAAAAGACTGGGTAGAATATAACTGCAACTCCAGTAATAACATCTGCTGGACTGAAAAGGGACGCACAGTGAAAGCAGTATACGGTGTGTCAAAACGGTGGAGTGACTACACTCTGCATTTGCCAACGGGAAGCGATGTGGCCAAGCACTGGATGTTACACTTTCCTCGTATTACATATCCCCTAGTGCATTTGGCAAATTGGTTATGCGGTCTGAACCTTTTTTGGATCTGCAAAACTTGTTTTCGGTGCTTGAAAAGATTAAAAATGAGTTGGTTTCTTCCTACTGTGCTGGACACAGGACAAGGCTTCAAACTTGTCAAATCTTAATTTGGACCCCAAAGCGGAATATTAATAAGCACTCATACTACCAATTATCACTAACTTGCCATTTTTTGTATGCTGTATTTTTATTTGTGGAAAATATCTTGCTACTTCTGTAGCTGCTCTCACTTTGTCTTTTCTTAAGTAATTATGGTATATGTAAGGTGTTGGGAAAAAACATTTTATAATGAAAGTATGTAGGGAGTCAAATGCTGACTGTAAATGCATAAGAGATGTTAAAAATAACACTGCACTTTCAGGAATGTTTGCTTATGGTCCTGATTAGTAAGAAAACAGTTGTCTGTGCTCTGCAGTGGCCAGTGATGAATTACTAATGCCTTATTTTCTAGGCATATAATAGTTTAGAGAATGTAGACCAGATAAATTTGTTTACTGTTTTAAGAAAACTACCAGTTTACTTACAGAAGATTCTTTTTTCCAAACAGTAGGTTTCATCCAAGACCATTTGAAGAACTGCAAACTCTTTCTCTTAGAAAACAAAGAGGGCTGCCTAAAATAAACACAAAATTTGCTTCTACTCCATCACATTCAGACGTCTTGGTTGTGACCTATTACCAGTGTAGCAGAGAACCCAAGTTACATTTTAGATCAAAACATTGTTTATGTAGGTATTGTTAAAAGGCTAGCGCCTACAAATTGCCCTTTCATGCATTGGTCAGGGGGCCCTGAAAACACTGGTAATATTAAGAGTCTTTCTCAGGGTAACTTAATGTTTTCTTAATGAACAATGTTTCCAGCTACAAATTCTTCCAATAAACTGTCTTCCTTTTTGAAAAGTACTCTCATAGAATAAATTTAGCAATTTCTCATTTACTGACTCAATCTGTTTTGAGTATTCAGAAAAGATTTTGATCCCTATTGAGTTAATGCTCTGCCATGAAAATTATTTTTCTGATCCTTGTTAGTGATAACATTTTTTTTCTACTGAAGGTCAAAGGATAGGAAACAAGTCATTTCTCTTCTTGTATACATGTAATGTATTATGTAAAAAAGTATTCATATTGGCAATTTTAGTTAGGCATAATAGTGTGGTTGTAATTTTTAAAACTTAGTGTTTGTCTGATTAAAGCAGGCACTGATCAGGGTATCTCCTAAGAGGTAATTCACTTCTAATTCCTTTCCAATAATTATTACATTCTAAATTTTCATCTATGAGAAATAACAAGAAGGGAACAGAATTAAATTGGAGAATAATCTAATCTTCATTGTTTAAATGGTTTGACTTCTCACCATTGAAGCCATTTTTTCTAGCCTCAGAAAGAGGAAATAATGCCTCCACCATTTTCTACCTGGTGACTTGAAAATTGAACTTTTCAGTTAGGAAGAAGAGTCGGGGAACTTGTATACCACTATCTATGCAGCATTGTTATAGTCTGATTATTTCTGTGTTTTGAGTATGATTTTCCTAATGCTCTAAATAAAATTTTGTTAAAAATTAATTTTTCATTTAATGTGCAAATATTGAATAGTATATTAAAAGTGGTGGTCATTAAAAATGCCCATGTTTTAGAGTTCACGTTTGAAAGTTTCCAATATAGGTTAAGGATTTATATTAGCACTGTCCAAACAGTATAGTTTTTTTTATTGTTCTGTTCAGCAGTAGTGTAGTAGAAAAGCCAAATGTTAAAATTGTGAGCTTTTAGCTTAAAAAAAGTTAATGGTAAGTAAAATCTCCTTTTAGATTTCTCAGCTCTTTGTGAGCGAGTTAGCTTTAACTAAAGCATTATCTCTTCACTGTAACAAAGTCAAATACAAAAGTATATTCTGCATTCTTTATAAGGTAGTATTAAGGTGGTACTAAAAATTACATTCTAAAAACAGCTGACAGTTTGACAGCCACAAACCTAACTTTTTGATATGTATTTTCTGTGAAAGTAAAACCAAAAATGATCTTTGGGCCAAGAATGTGACTTGAGCCAATTCGTTAACCAAAAATTTATAGAATATCCACTTTGATGAATTCTCCTACCCAAACAAACAAAAAACTATAAATGACTTTTTGGGATGGTAGCACAAAGCTGACATTTTAAAAACAATAACGAAGAGTGTAGAAAACAAATATTACAAGAAGGATAAAGTGATTGGTTACTTTCACCTAAAGATTAAAAAATAGATCTGACAATTAATGAGACTAATTTGTCCATGGCTGTCAAGTTTAAGAAAGAGTTGCTTGGAGTGAAAGGAATTCTTTTAGGGTGAAACTTTACCGTTCTATTAAAAAGAAAGAGGTAACTTGGAGATATTTTTCAACATAATTTTAATATTTGTTTCCTCGTGTGATACCTTGCTAAAACCACAAAACCACTAGCCTCTAAAAACATCTTTTAAAATTGTGTACACACTGTTGCAAAATAAATAAGGAGCCAAGTTCTTTCTCTCCCCATGACTTTTCAGTTATACTGTCATTTTATTAAAAAATGTTTAGTTTGCTGTTACCTAAACTCTTCCCTAGACTACTTGGGGTTATATTTCCATAGAATTCCATCTTGCTCTTAATAAATTCAAAATTCTTTGGAAAAGATGCATTTCAGAAGATTATTCTTATGACCAGTTATGCTTTAAAAAATTACATTCTTAATTAAAATGCACTTATATTTAATGCATTAGTGGGTAGATTTTCGTTGTGAGTAAAATGTTCATTAGAATCTATTTGTAACTGGATATTTTGTAATTTTGGACTTAAACATATTTACTCTTGGGTACTGCTTTTTTATATGTATTCAAATTTATAGCTTAGTCTCTTTTAAAGTAATACTCTACATTACTTTCCCACAAGTGATGATAGTTAATATAATGTATGCCAGAAGAAAATGATTTAATTTTAAGAATGTGATTAGATATATTTGACAGTAAATGCTCAAAGGAGTTAGATCTGTCAGTACTTTTGAATGTCTCCTGTATTGGAAACTATTAGACTGTCACCTCTTTTTAGGCAAAGGCTTACACGTGTTGGTATTTCTGGTACACAGTTACCAAGAAGAGTGCCTTGTCCATAATGAGAAGCATTTAATAAATATTTTGGGCTGAGTGAATAAATTTAGAATCCTAAGGAGAAATTGGAATAACTTGATTGTAAATTACTACATTTTCTTTAGTTTTACATAAATGGATATTATTTCAAGATCTTCATTAAGCAAGTAATTTAGTAAAAACTTACAGAATCCGTAAAAGGAAAGCAAATCTCAAATTTGTAGTTAATAAGTGTTAAGATTAGGGAAGGAATAACTGTTTCAGAACTGGTTTGAATGAAAACATAGCTGATGTTGCCAAAAAAATGGCTTTTTGTGGGTTGAGTCCATTTCCATCATGACTCTAATATCATTAAGATTGAATCATTCATTTCCTCACTATTATATCTAGACAGATTGAAATTTATCACAAATGGAAATTATTAAAAGAAAAAGTCTGACTGATGAACAAAGAAGGAATTTGGCTATGCAGATCAGTGACAACTAAATTGTAAGGTCAGTAAAACAGGCCTATAAACGTAAGCAAGGTAAGGACAAGCTAGGGAAACTACAAGTATCTCCTTTTTTATATTGTCTTAACCTATTCACTAATTACAACACATAGAAACAATATAAAACAATGAAGTTTAAGCAGTAATTGTTTTGAGAAACCATTCTGTTGATAATTTACATTTATGTTTATTAGGAAATATTGTTTTTATTACTTAGACCGAAGTTGATTTAAAATTGAAAACTGTGGGCTACCGTAAGGTTTTTTGTTTTGAAATATTCAATACCTAAAAGCCATTCTGATTTTTAAAATTGAAGTTGACTAGTCATCTTGTATAATGACCTCATATTTTATAAGTTTGAACTTAAAATAGTTAGAAGTAGACAATTTTAGTCAGCTTTTGTGTTTATTTGGTCTAGCCTAAAAGACATTGATTTATCTCAAAGATTTTTAGCAGCGTGCAAGGGGTAAATGAGTACGGCATAGACAAGCAGTGTTCACTCAATGCCAAGTAAACTTTTCTAAGTTTAAAAATATTTTTATATTAAAACATACCAATGTATTGATAAACAAAATTTGCATTAATTTTTAATATAAACTATAGACTTCAAAGCAATTTTAATCTTGCAATGGGTCATTTGATTCATCCTCCTCATCCCCAAACACTTTGGACCTAATACTGCATGTTAATGACACTCTAAAAAGTTTTTTTTTTTTTTTTTAAAAAAAAAAACCTTTTTCTTTTGACTTGGAATACAAATAGCACAATTAATTTTCACTAAACAAATACTTTTGTTTATACATAGAATTTCAGATAGATGCCATTTTAATGGGATTTTATATTTCTAGATTCTTCAAAGTCCTTATACACAATTTGTTCTACACACTTGGGTATTGGTAAGGAAAATACAGGATATGGATTTTAATTTGTAATCCACATCCATGTGTATTGATACACGTTCTCTCCTATTTCTCTCCTACCTAATTAGAAGAGGTATTTTTTACAACACCTAACCTTTGGATTTCTCTCTTCCCTTCCTCATGAAACAACTTGAAATGACAATAACTATTACTTATTGTTCGCTAGGTTCTAGCACTGTGGTAAGCACTTCTGTATATTGATTTCGTTGAATCCTCCCACCCACCTTTTGTGGTAGATATACTTTTATGAATGAGGAAACTGAGCCATAACTTTACCAGAATGACAAAGCTATGTCTAAGAAATTGGGTATCAAACTCAGCTTTAACCCTGAACTCCTTAAAAAAAAACAAAACAAACAAAAAAAAAACTGCTTTGTAATCCTATCAATTTGGTATCTTCAGGGTCTCTACTGGCACTTTTCCATCAGAATACAGTATGAACATTCTCAAGGCCTTTTAGTAGTAAAGAAATCCTCCCACAATTTTATATCAGATCTTTATTTTTTGCTTACAGTGAGGTTATTTGAAAGTGAGTATTCTGTACTCAGTCTCCAATTTCTCAGCTTCCATTTTATCTTGTATCCATAGCAGTCTGGTTCCACTCGGCACTCCCCTGACAGTGTTCTTACTAAATCACCAGTGACCTCCATATTGCCAAATAAAGAGACATCTGATCTCTAGAGCATTTATTAACTACTTCCTTTATTTTCTTTTTTGTTTGTTTGTTTGTTTTGGCTTCTGTAAATACTATTCTTGATTTTTTCTGCTGTTTTTCTGGACATTCCTTAGTGTGTTTTGCCAGCTCTTCTTTCTCTACCCTATATTTTGGGTTTTCTCATATTCCTTCTCTGCTCATTCCATCACCTGCTTTCAGTAATCTCATTCACACCTGGGATTTCAGCTATAACACGTTCCACTGATTACTCTCAAACATCTGTCTCCAACATAGACATCTCTGGCACTCCAGGTACATGTATTCAGTCATGTACTAAACATCTCATTTCACAGGTTCCTCAAACTCAAATTCAAATCAGGTAGAGCCTCATCCAAATTGCTTAGTTCCCTCTATTCATGTACATGTGGATGGTACCATTCATGCTTTATTACTCAAACAAAAATTTGGGCTTTATCCTTGACTCTCCCTCTTCCTCATTACCCACATCCCATTAGTCTCCAAGTCCTACTAATTCCACCTCCTACCTAGTATTTTATATAACCATCCCTCATCTCCATTTCTACTGCCTTTACCCTATAAAGGCCTTCACCATTTTTCCCACTAGTTATTGTTATAGCTTGTTAACTGTTTTTATTCTCCTGTCTCAAGTCTCATTTTGCTCCAATATAACTTCCATAGTTTTGCCAAAACAACCTGTCTATACTCCCTATAACTTTCACCATAAAGGATACATTCCTTGTGTTAGCATATCAGGCCTGCCTTGTGATTAGCCTGTTTCCAAAATCTCTTAACTGTTCGTCATCTCAGTCACCTTCCTGTCATTTAGAACTGTTTGTAAATCTCTGAAAATGTTATGTGTTTTTTTTTTTAAACCTGTTCCACGTGGGTTCAAAATACATGCTGGTCTCAAAACATGTTAGTCACAAGTGAAGCAAGGCTCAGTAGGGAGAATAGATCGTGCTGGTGGCATAAATCTGGCATGAAAAATGTTTTCCCTTGTTATTTATGAGTCAGGTTTGCATCCAGGAGAGATACTCGAGAGTAGAGAATCATGGACAGTGACTAATGAATATAACAGCTTAACTGACTTTTTATGTCATTGGTCCCCACCACAACATGTTGGAGATGGGAGGATCATGGCAGGTAGAGGGGAGAGCCTTACAGCTGGTAAGGAGGTAGGTCTAGATTGCAAGGCGTGGTCCACATAACTATGTGAGTCTCTCTTCAATCCAAAGGCAGGAGCTTGCTTGCCACTCTAGTTTTGCCAAAACATAGGAAAATGCTTATTACCCAGGCAGTGCAAAATAGGATTGGAGCTGTGAAGTCCAGGGGTGAAGTAAGCAGCCCCCTTGCAAACCATGCACCATTTTGTTTTGTGATTTTTCTTTTTTTGACCCATTGTAGGTAGTGCTGTTTCAGCACAGCTGGCAATGGAGCTGCATGGCCAACATCTGTGAAACCCTAAGAGCAGTCCCCACATGGCCTTCTGTCCTCAGTGAGGCTTATCAATTCAGAAAGAGTAGGGATTCTGAAGCTATGCTAGTTAATATGCAGGACTCGTCTCATTCCATGTTATCCAGTAACTGGTAGAATAGATACTCTGCTTCATTATGAATGACAGTTTCACAGTCAGGGGGCACCACTCCCACCCCCTGAACCTTTGAAGAATTCCATCCTCAGGCCTTGGTCATTCCACACAAAGTCCTGAGAAATGACCCAAACTCCACAGTGGAGAGAACCATGACCTACTCCTACCATCCCCTTCATGGGGTCGTCAGCAAGCTCTTTCCCAGCAGAGCCACCATACCCAAAGCTCAGCCCTAGAGGCTCAGGGAAAAAAAAAATTTTTTTTGAGACACCTCTTTGTATCTTCTGCCAGAGTTCAGACTGGAAATGCTGTGTGTTCTGTTGCCTCCTTGAATTTGGTGCCTAAGATATCTAGAATTTCTGAATGAGAGTGCTTTGCAGGGTACCATGCTTCCTGTTTTATTTGGAGAGGCAGGCTCAGTAGCTTCAGAAGAGTAAAACGTTCTATTTACACCAGACCAGAGCTCAGATCTCAGCTCTGAAAGATACGGGCTGAAACAGCTACCTTGAAGTCACTTTTAAGTCAGAGGATGAGGTTCTGGCAGTCTGTTGCACTCAAGGGCCCATACTTATATTTAGAAGTGACTACTAAAGCTGTAGGTGCAGCCAAGGATGGGATGTGGAGTGAGGGTCTTGGCTAACCTATTGACCACAAATAGATGGTAAAGCTCAGCAGTAAAACCCTGAAAGACATCAAGATGTTTGGTTTGGTCGTAGTGTCAGAATTGGAGAAAAGCTAAAAACTCCAAGGAACTAAACTACCGTCACTGTCCAAAAAAAAAAAAAAAAAGTAATAACCCTCTTTTTTTTGTTTTTTTGACAAGTTCATTTCATCCAGTGTGGTAGAAAAGGCACAATTCCAGTGTATCATTTACA